AAAGGTTCTTACATGTGCAGAACAGATACAACACGAGACTTACGCCTACGTACTTGAATCGTAGAAACGACTTCCTCCAACTTGCACTGAGTCCCCTAAAAAGCCGAAAAATATCATACCGAAAAAACAGTAGTTCTTCAATAAGACCTTGTTCCTGTCTTCTTCTTGTGAGAAGTTTTGGATCAATTGCCTCGTTAAATTCTAACTCTTCATCTATGCTGAGGCCATCTGTGAGCCCATCATGACCATCTACCAATAAAGAGAATATTCTGACTCATATGAGCAGCTTTTATTTAAATAGCACGTACTTTCTATTGGTATACGTGTTGGAGGAATCCGTCTTGCTGGTGTGCTTTTTAGTGTAAGTGTTCGTTTGATATTATCATAGTCCAATGTGTTTTCATCAACATAGAGATGATCATGTGATTTCGGATTTTTCTTGTCCGCTTCTAATGAATCACCTTGTAAGAAACCGTATGTTAAATCTTCCTTATCGTGTTTTTGATATAATGCCAAGAGAAAGGCATCGGCCGTCGTTTTATCTGTCAAAGCCAGTAACTCGCGTTCATCATCAAACAACTCTTCGTCATACTCTAGCTCATTCTCGTCGGTAATCTCTTCATCTGTAGTTCGAGATGCTGACGTTTGCCGGTGATACATTGAGGATGACTGCCGTTTGACTCGCTTTTGTTTTGATCGTTCTCGATCGAGTTTTCGTTTGATTTCGTCGTGTTTAACCTTTGCATATAACTTGTTTGCGTTCCTTGCCTTTTCCATTTTTTCCATCAATTGCCGACGTTCATCGTCAGCTAATACTCTACCATCCTCCATTTCTTTAATAGCGATTTCAATTAGATCATTTGCTTTCCATAGATCATTGATTTCTCGCTCGGCACTACTCAGTGTCTGCTGAATTTCGCCAATTTGAATATTGGCCATTTGCCCAATCTGACTGTCGGACATTCGATTTATTCTATCGTTAAGAGCTCGCTCAATTTCAACTGTATCATATTCTTGTATTTTCATCACCACATTGGCATTGAAACTAGTTGTGATGGAATGTAAAAGTTGACCACATACAGCCGTATACATTTCGAAAATTACTTTTCGTCCGTTAGCATGATGCTCAGCTGTATTTTGATCACGATTCTCAGCAGACAGGAACGAACCTGAACCCATGATTAAAGTCATAATCTTTTGCGGTGGAACGAGTTTAACAACATCAGCCATAGTCGCCTCAACGTATTCGCCGTTTTCCTTTACCATTAGATTGGGAATCTTCTGTCCAAACGATTTGTGTGTCACCTCGGTAGGTATTGAAAATGCCAAATTTTTCATTCTCGCCGCGAGATCGTGTACGATATAAGCCGAATCAGCATTTCTCGCGTGTTTGATAGAGACGACAGCTTGACGAATCAAGTTTCTCACTGTATTATGATATTCAAGATCGACTGCACTCAGAAATTTCACATGATCTCTCAAATAAGGAAATTTGTCTTGCAACAGATAGCGTTTTACATCTTTGGCAAACAGTTCGGTGAGTAACGAAAACATTTGTGTGAGCCAACAGATGCCAATCAAAAATGTTTCACGCACAAGCGTTCGCAGAATATCACGCACTGCCTTTTCGAGATTATCATAGTCAGTGTTACCACCATGAAGAGATGATTCAACCGATTCGATCCAATCGCGTGTTGGTTCGCGAGGTTTGAATGCCAGTATCATGTAGGAGAAAACTTGACGAAGTCGTTCAAAGTGTCTAGCTCCAACCAATTTTAGGTCTAGCGAGGATAATTGAGTACCTTTACTTGCTTGTAATTGATCGAGAGTAAGATGTGCTCGCCATGTAATCGGTTGTTTTCTCGGCCACTTGTCATATCGTTCAGCGATATCTCGATAAGTTTTTCCAGCCAAATCAAGGGGGAAGAATGAATCGATTTCAGATCGATAAGCAACATAGGAGCGAATTGTCGAACGGAATTCGGTGATATATTTCTGGTAGTTTGAGCGAACAAGAATGGGATCTTGTTGTTGAAGTTTGTTGAATGCCGCTTCGTATTTACTTTTAGCGATATCGAGCTGTTCATGTAGCGATTCGTTTAATTTTGGAAGGGCACTACGGAAAGCCTATATAAGAAAAGAAGTTTTATTGATGTTCGTATGTGCGCGTCTCAAGTATCTATTCTGCCCACAAAATCATTCTTCTCACTGAGATTTGGAGTTTCGGAGGTTTCATAGAGTTACGTACCACATATTTTTTCAGTAATTAATTTTTTCGATTCTGACGCTATATTTTCAATAGTTTATAGAATTATGAAGCACCTTCAGAGTCTGACGCTTGAGTACTGACCATAGTTATAATGATCTTACATTAATGCGCACGCTATTTACTTGCATCCTCTAAAGTATTTTTTATTATAACCTACGTTACTATTGAATTTCAAATTCAAAATAACTTACCCTAACCCACAAATCTTGAATTTGTTTTCGTACCACATTGATTCCAATCAATGACCGATATTTCTGATTAAACGGGTGGTATCTCGACTCATCTTCATTTGCTAATCGATTGAGTTTTGTAATTATCCACTCGTTTACTTGATGCTTTTCCAACTCTGGTAGCTCACTGATATAATTCACGTTTTCTTCGTACGAATGATCAGCAAACGTGTATCCATCAAATATCATATTGACGAAATATGTTTCACCAAACTCTTCTCTCAACGTTTCTATTTCCTGGTTGACAGCCGTTCCATTCTGGTTCTGCTGCATGAAAGTTTCAAATTTTGTTTGAATAGTAACCATATGTTGACGATAATCGAACCGAGGAGGTAGTGGTGAGCCGCAGGGAGCTGGATCTAGTGTACACAGCTCTTGAATACGACGAGCCCCGTAATTGTTTGCTTTCAACTGACTCGCTTCTTTCAACTGAACAATCATGAAATTGGGATTTCGAACATAGTGTTCGGTTATTTTCTCAACGGCTGCCCGATGTTCCGGATTGTCACTGCCGCCGATTAAACCCGGCACATCGAGTATTTCGAAATCTGTATATTCATTACCTTCAATTTCGACAATGTATGGTTCCAAACGAAAGCCACCAGTAGCTCGGTGCGACACTTGAATTTGACCCATGAGCTCCTGTAAATGAGCACCAAGAGCTTTAGGGGATAGGCCAGCTGGCTGTAAAAAGCGAATTTCACCATTTCGTAGCTGAGGATTATATCGGAGACAATAGGCCACTGGACAGCGGGTGGCAATATTCGCTTGTGAAAAGGAACAAGGAAATCGAAGAAAATTTTGAACCAGCATTGATTTGCCCGAACTCGTCTCACCGACGATAACGAGTTGAGGAATTTTAAGTTTATCCTCGACCTGATGGTCGTGAGCAATCTGACGAAGTTGAGTGTAAGCTTCAAACATTGATTTATCAACGGTAATACCATCAGTAGTAGTCTGTCCTGGTCTCAAATAACTAACCATGTTAGCTCGATTGAATAAGCAACCGTTTATGTCTAAAAATTAATTTCTCTTTGATGAATGATAACTGCACACTATTTTTGCAGTTATTGCTATAATTACTTTATTTCAATAAAGTAGCTCATTACCACGATAAAGATTGTTTATCCATAAATCGCGGAACGAAGGAATAGAGAGAGGATGACGGACGGAATAGAGAAATAGAGGATAGCGGAACGGAGGAATAGAAAAATAGAGGAGAGCCGAACAGAGGATTAGAGGATAGCGGAACGGACGTGTCAAGAAGGAAATTGTCGAATAATAACGAAGAAAGTACTTTCTTATTTTTTGCTCAGTTAACAAGACTAATTTTATTTCTAATTTGATTCTATCAACAAATTCAAAAGAATCTTTTAAATATGGACCAGCCTCTGACATTGCTGATAATAATAAGTTAGCAAATATTTAGCCGTGTTGGGATTATAAGCAGCTACACCAGACGCTTACTTCCTACCTGAGGTACACAAATGTAATCTTTCTGTTCGTGCCATTATTTCTAGTTAGGGTGCTTATAAGCATAACAGACTAAATATTTGGCTAACTTGTTATTATTATCAATGTCAGAGATTGATTCATATTTGAAAGAGCCTTTTGAATTTGTTGATAAGTAATGTGATAAGTAGGGGTGGCTGTTTACTTGTTACTCGGTGTTACTTTACCAGTAAAGTAACAAAAATTTGTTACTTGTTACTAGTAATTAGTAACAACAGATGCTAATTACTAGTAACAGTAATGGTAAACAGCCAGCCCTAGTGATAAGTAAGGTGATTAGAGTGTAAAAATAAGGTAAATTAACACAAAAAAATCTGACTATTAACAAACACGTGAAAGAAGAGTTTGTTCCTGCTCCTTATCATGGAATATGTACATTAACTTTAATTAACAAACTCCGGACTATTCTCAAACATCCGTAGAAATAGGCGATTTTTGCCTTCGAATCTAGTAACCGTTTGTAACATACACTCAACTCAACATTTAGACAGAAAAATAAAGATTCAAAAAGAGTGACTACTAACCAGTAGTATATCGCGAAATTGATGCATATCGCGATATATTCCGATTAAAAGACATTACGATTTATCTAACTACTTCTTCTATTCGGATATTTCTACAATTAATCGCAATACGAATCAGTATCACGATGTTGATCGATAAATATTTATCGCGGCCGAACGAAATATTGTTTTGCATTGCGATAAATCATAGAGATAACGCAGTAATAACTTACATCACGATCTGTCGGAACCGTCTGATAGATCGCGACGTAGAATTTATCGCGGTAAACAATGACGATATCGCGATAGGTACCATTATCAACGCCTTTATGGCGATATATCGGCGATTGCTCGGTTTAAAAATCCTTACGGCAAAGAAGTGGTAACATAGTCAAAACAGTTTCGAAAACTAAGCAACGATAGCATTTTTAGGTCCAGGATGAAAATTCTAACAGATACTTCAAGTGAAATCGTGATTTTTATTTTCGTTTTGACTGAATCTTTTGTTCATTGCGCCAGCATTATTAATTACTTATTGATGTTATTTATAGAATGATCGATGTTAAAACCATCACAAAACCGTATACAACTCGGTCTACATCGATCTGTATAATTTTGCAAACTATTACTTAATTATGTGTTATGCGTGTTATTGTGAGTTGTATTTACTGATACCTTAAGGGAACATTTTAGAAAGGCTCTTCATTTTTGAGTCAAACATGATGCATGATAGAG